TGCAGATCGAACATATCTTTAAGCCATAATTTTTCTTTTAAAATAAAGGGTTAAGATGATAAACTATTTTGATGGCTTGAAATCTTTTTTCATTCCATATGTGTCGAGGATGAGAAGATTAATTTGTGGATTTCTTTTTAGCATCGAAACAACTTTTTCCGATTGTTTTATGAGGTGCGCCTTATTTCAATTGTACAAAGTTAACCCCTTATATAAATTTTTTCTGATATTACCAACTAAAGCAATCTTAATTTATCAAAAAAATAAAGAGTAGAGTACCAGTGACTTTGTCCCATAATCTAGCATTTTGTGCAGGAAATGGAAAAAAAAATCTCAAGAAAAGATATTCTTCATCATTACAGGTTCAAATAGTCCCCACCAGCATCACCTACTTCACATTTTATATATGAGGTCAGAAGTGTAACAATTGTAGTTCCCCTAACATTATGAAAAACCCTAATAAAAAAACTATGCTTATCTTCAAAATCTCACATAGCAACAAAGCTACCAGTATTGGACAATCTTCACAGTAGATCTGCCCTGGCCTTTATTTAATCCATCCATTAGACAAGCATGGCATCCCTGTCACATCTGAAATGATAGCATGGCCACTTAATGTCTATGTTTTCCTTTTGTTGAGTGTGGTCCTCACTGCTTCATAAAAAACTGAAGCTATTTTCATCCTGTCTTCCAATTCATAGCGCCGTATACAATTTTTTGTACAAGGGTGACAACTAGGCAGCCTCTCCGGAGGGGTGAGATGGAAACGGTCATAACTTTTGATTATTGTACAAGAGTCATAATTAGGCAGCGTCTCCAGAGGAGTGAGATGGAAACGGTCATAATTTTTTATTTTTAATGCACAAAGTGGCCTCTCTCAATACTCGAAACCAGACTCGAAGCCGCGTTCTTACACTGGCTACCCGAACCTTTTACCGTAATGACCCCAACAATTCTTGTATGTAAAGTTTAATTAAACTACATTCGGCTATTCATTATTTAATATTGAAAAAAGTTTATAGAAAGTGTCAACCATAAACTATACAAGTAAGGTGCACCTATAAACCCACTAGAAAAGGTTATTCGTATCTTGGAAATCCCTCAAGCCGATCATCTCGACCTCGAGATCCATAGACATTAAAAAAAGGAGCTTATTAGTACTAAAAATAGTTCATCTTCGAATGTATTATCTGGACGATCCACTTTCAAGATTTTCAAGTGTTTACAGATCTGCTTGATTGTCACCATTTTTGGAATTTGAAACTTCACAATTGCGGGCAACAATATATTTTCGTATTATCGTAAGGCTTTACAGCACGGAAACTGTATTTTTGGCATAGTTTTGAGGTACACCTTACTTCAATAGTATAAGATTGATACCTTACACAAACCTCACCTTTTAATATTTCATCTGGTTTCTTTATCCTTTTAGCAAAATTTCATACAAGGAATGTATCAAGTACACATCCTAAAGGGTCACATATTGATAGATGGAAGAATTCTGATTTATTATCTCCATCAAAATAAAAGTAGTTTTGAGATAAATTACCTGTGAGATATTGGCTTCTTTGAATACCGATATCATACCCTAAACACCATGAGATACTGGTATTCTCGAAGAATATTTTTACAGTGATTTAATAAGATATTGGCACTCGAAAACACTAATTTAACTTGTGGTGACTCATATTTCGAGATATTGTAGTAAAAGTTACCAAATATCTTATTAAAACTAAACACTCATGAGATATGAGTATTTGAAAATGACAATGTCTTGAGATATTTGGCTCCGAATTGTCAATATCTACTAGAGTTTTTCGAGTGAAAACTTAGTACTCGGAAACAAGAAATATCTCATTATAGGTAGTTTTCCTCGAAAATAGTTTTGCTTTGATGGAGGCTTTCTAACCTATTACTGATCTTGGCTAGTCCATAGAGAAAGTTTTTACCCAAAGAAAAAAAAGGAAGTGAAATGCTAAATAGTGTCTCTTGAGGATTGCTTGATAAAAACATACAAAATTCGTAGTGTACCATCTTACATTAATCTTGTTTACCCATTAATGCACTTCGTTGGGACTTAATGAAGCGAGTAGTATATAATACAACACTGAGTTTCTGCTAGTCACCACGTTGTAGTTTTCATTTTTACTGACACCGCCCCATTAACACCTTCAAAAAAGCTACCTCCTAAACTATTTCAAAAAACTGGTGGGCCAGTCTTCTCCACTGAATTACTCAAAAAATAAATAAATAGAGAGCTTCTCGAAACATGGATTAGTGAGTTCTTCAAGTAAATTACCCATAGAAATGGGCATATTCAACATCACATGTTATGTTACATGTAATGAAACCCCTTACTGATTCATGTGCATGTTCCTTTTCTTGCTCTTAGTTTATGTTTAAGAATGCTCATTATTATGTGCTTTTATTGAAATTTTTTGTCTCTCTACTATAACATCTTCTCGTTCCTTTTTTTCCCAGTTTTTTTGAAGGCTCGAGGATTTCAAAATTTGCAACATTTCCTCTTGTCCAATGAACATTTCAAATTTACCAGGAAGCCAATAAAAAGGAATCTATAACTAATTTTCAGTTCCTATTTTCCATTTTTTAATAAGGTCAAATCGAAAATTTCTATTAGGACATGCTTTTGGTGAGTCTCCTCATGCATCAGGCGTCCGTCTTAGAGATGGACATCAAACAATTGTGCTCCCACAATACCTCAAAATGGGCAGTGGAAAAATATATTAAAAATAATAATTTTTATTCTTAAGGAAATAAAAATTCTAAATTCATAATCTCAATGATAGTTGAGGTTAACAAATCCTTTTTGGATAAAAAATTCATCTTAAAGATGAATTTTGAAGGGGGGCCGTAGATAAAGGTCAGTTGGCAGCCTCACCAAACACATTTCCTTTTCTCTGACATGGTGTTTTTAAAGATGGGGAACTTTTTATGTGATCCCAACAACATATAAGTCTTATGTGATCTCACTTTTAACGGTTCGATCTGAATCGACGGTTATGATTGTTTATACCACAATGTTACGTCAAACAATATTTTATTTTTTATTTTTTTTCTACAATATCTTTTTGGATGAAATTTTGGACATCCCATCACAAAATTTGGACGAACCTGAAAAAAAAAAATTTCTTATAAAAATAAATAACAAAAATAGTGCTTAAATTTTCAAGGGTATTCTGGTAATTCTTTATCACTAGAAATTTTTTTTTTAAAAAAATTATCATGTGTGCCCTTGTCAGATATATACAAGCCCCAAATTTTGTTTTAAAATGATTTATAGAATAAAAATGAAAAATAAAAAACTCTGAGCCATCCGATCAAGATCTGACGGTTACGAGCCAGCTTGTGGTATTATGACTCAAGCCATCTCAGCCATATACTCAGATCTAACGGCTGAAATCAAGGACCACACATACTATATATATATATATATATATATATATATATATGGGTGGGGTTCCAAAGAACGATTCCCTTTAATAAATATACCCTAAAGTAAGCTTTATAAAGTTTGAGGACCCTAGAAACTGAGGCTCGCTGGTCCAAAAATTGTTCTTTTTTCGTTCTTTAGTTTCTTTCATATCAAAAGATTATATGCTCCAGTGGAGAATATCTTTACAATCATTCCTCTGGTATAAGTCTAGGTGTATATTCAGGACCACAAACTTTTTGCACGTCACCTCTTTTGCCAATATTGAAAAAATGTTTTAAACGGTCAAGTCTAAGTACTTAAGAACTGAAAGTTGATTGTTTTTTAACTTAAATTTTGTGATTCCATAGTAGTTCTCAAAATTTAAGATTGAGAAAATATTCCCAAATCTTTTGCCTGAGGAAGTAATTGTACAGTGTGCTCCGAGGAGAACATGCTATGATCCTCTTCTTTTCCTTGCTCACCTACCCATTTATTGTATGGCTTCCCTGTTCTTTTGAATCTCTTTAGTTTCCATACGTCGATTTTGATTTCATTTCATTCAATTATGCTTCTTTTATAGGGAAAGTATTTAGTAGAGTCGCTAATTTAGGGAAATCATCCTTTATCATAATACCTATTAGAGATAGAGTATTTAATATTTTACCCATTTGACACTTTTCCAATTATGGGGCATATGTTTTTATATTGGTATTTTGAAGTTAAATAAAAAATATGGTTAAAATGCTAAATTGTTCGTCTCTTAAAGATAATTTGATAAAGTTCAGGCTAATTTATGAAGGCACACCTCAAATCTCTTGGGAAAATGTAGGTTCGTCACAATGAAATTTGTAAATCCATCATCTCCATCTCAACAATTCTAGAAAAAAATAAGATAAATATGGATTTTATACAATGAGACTGGTTACCTTTAGTACTGGAAAATCACAATTACTTACAACTATCCGATGTGAAATTTGATAGTTTGGATATGTTGCAAAGTTTGAAAAAATTTATTTTAAACTTTGAACTCGATCAATAAAATAAATACAGCGACCCAATTTCACATTCAATAGTTAAGATTAATTGTGACCACCTTGCACCGAATATAAATGGTCTCATTATATAGTTTCTCAATTAAAAAATTACGAATCCCTAAAATAAATTCTATCCTGTCACACATTTTTTTGGCAGTCCATTTTAAGTTTCCATAGGTCCGCGGGTCTGCAAACCATCTAAAGGGTTTCCAGCAATGAAACCACTTTCCAGTGGGCTTCTCGGGTCAATTTTTTTAGTTCAGTTCATTCAATTTCCTCTTTCAATGTTTCCTTAAAGTTCATATTGATAGTGTTTAAAGAAGTGGATTTATGGGGTGAACTTGTCGCTTTTCGAACCGATCGGTACTAGCCACTCAGATCCAATCCACCAAGGAAATTCTAAAAGTTACTCGACTCAGACAGTTACCCACCAATTCCAATTCGAACCAAACAATCCGATATGTTTTCAAAACACTTTGGAATAATGCTTGTTATATAGCTTTCAATAGGTTCACACCCAAGTCACATCCCCATTAATAAAGGAAACAACTATCACATACATGTTTTTTTTGTAGTACAAAGGTATATGGAAACCTTGCATTAATTTTGGAACAAATTTAATCACAGACGTAGCACTACATCATATTTATATCTCACACCAACTACATAGAAATACAAAAGAAAGGACATCCTTTTTCGACGCCAACCCACTTTCCTTATTTACTCACTAATTACTTTGACCCAACAAAAATCGTGGTTTCTCTCTCTAAAAATCTTTATCTCTCCCTAAAAAGAATTATTAAAGCAAATCCCAAATATGTGGATGCAAAAGACCCAAACCTATGCCCACCTTGCTGATATCACACGCAACGACTCGGTGCTCATCCCACCACCTCGGACTTGGCTCTATTTTCAAACTTTGGGACCCCACTTTCTCTCTCTAGAAAAAGTTGGATGAGAGAGATGGAGGCCAGCTAGCTTGCATTCTTTAGACCATCGTGATATCATCCATCACTAAGGGTAGGTTTGTTGAGATTAGGAGGAGGTGGGCCCACGCGCTCCTTGGTTCATTTTCAAGGCCACTTTGCTTGTTCACACTTTCTCTTTCTAGACTATAGAACCAAAAATGAAAAAAAAGAATGTGGAATATGTGATTTGATCTCAAATATAATACATACAAGGAGAGAGAAAGGGCCTTCTAGAAGTTCTCTTTGTGGAAGTCGAAGCGCGTGGTGGTTTTGCGCGAGAATTCTAGAGAGAGGTGGCGTAGCTCTCCTGTCAAGGCCGGAGCACCACAGTAGAATACACCTGTGCATTGAGAGAAAAGACAAAGTCAGTCAGAATAAAGCATTAGAGAGAGAGAGGGAAAATAGTTTAGAATAAATCAATCGAGAGAAAAAATGGTGGGGGTTAGACCGAAAAAATGGGAAAAAGGTTAGTGCGATTAAAGCCTTAGAGAGAGAAAATGAACAAAGTTAAAATAGGTGAAAAGGCAAGTAAGTATTCATGAATCGGGGACGGGGAGATGGACAAGGTTTGGTGAGTTTTGAAAAAATGAAGTTGGTTTTGAGTCGTTCAAAGACGGGTACGAAAAGAGTGTATTCATGTTAGCCAACCTAGAGAGAGAAAGAGGAGAGAGAAACTAAAGGGCCCACCTCAAGCAAAGAGGGCTAGAGAGAGGAGTGCAATCAACCGATGGATTATGAGGCGTGGGGTTCAGAGACGGATCGAGAGAAAATATTAGAAATAGGATTTAATCTCATCATGAATTTTTTTTTTTCTAATTAATTGGGGTGACCATATAAACTATGATAAGTCACTCTACTTTATCAAATTTCATACCTTCACTGAAATAAGAGAGAAACCCATAAAAAAGATCGAGAAAGACTCCAGCCATATATAGAAAAGGGTTTTCAAATGGCAAGGAGATGAGAGAGAGATGACACGTCCCATCATTAAAGATGGAGAGAGATGGAAAAAAAGAGAAAAAAAAGTAAGGCATGGCGAATCAACTCGGAGAGAGACGGACATTAGAGAGAGATTGAGAGAGAGTCGGATAGGAACCCTTAAGAGATAGAGAGAGAGAATGACAAAAGCGAGTCTCTTTTGGAAAGAAAGAAAAAAAAGATTGTGACGGTTCCTTTGAGAGAGAGGAAGTGGGAGAGGAGAGGGTTCCTTAAAGAAACAGTGGGGTACAATTATGAGGATCAGACGAGCTACCGGTTGCGATGTCGTATTGACTTGAAAAGCTTTCTAAAAAATATAAAATAAATAATAATAATATTTTAAAGGGTGCGGTTTTTATAAAGTTGCAACTTTAAAACAATCAATTAAGGCCTACCTCCAGATAAAAATATGTAATTTTGTTATAAATTTTTTTTTTAAGATTATCTTAAAAACTACTTTTATATCTAATTAAAAAATTTTAAACTAAAAAAGATTTATAAACATATAAAAATCTTAAAATTAGACTGTCTAGATAATTTAATGGTAAGATGCACTAATTTTTAGACTTAAAAACGTTTTTTTTTTTTAAATATTTATACATTTTTATGATCAATTAGAGGGTTTTTCAACACTAAAACAGCTTTTCCAATAGATTGTTGAAGTGCACGTGTGATTCTACAATTTAAGGTTGCAATTCTATATAAATTTTTCCCTAATTTAAAATATAAAATATATTAAAAAAATTCTAACACCAATCTAAACCAAATCGTTCGACCAACCAAACAGGTCAAATACTAGATCCAACTTGTTTTTTTTATTAATCGAGCACGATTCAGCAGTCCAACCTGTCCAAGTATTGTGGTTTGAGAAATTGGCAAAGAGAGAAAGTTATGATGAGACTCACCAACACGCTTCTCACGGTGATTGATGGCAATCCTCTTGAACTGGGCCCTCCAGTTTGGCCGAGCAAAGTGGGTCTTCACCCTGGTCCCTGAAACTATGTCCACCCCACTCTTGGCGTGGTGCAAGCTCTGCAACATGGCGATCAGAGCCGACCTGGCGTCCCCCTCCTCGTAGACGCTGGTGCAGTAGTTGTGGAACTCAATGACCCCATTCTGGTCCGCTTCTGCCACCTCGTTCATCACCCCCTTGAACCACTCGAACGAGCCCTGCTCCCTGGTGACCCAGTAAAAGTAGGCCCTCTGGGTCTTGAACTTCTTCTTCGTCGGGGTGGCAGTGGTCCGGAGGGCACCTCCTCTCTCTAGGTCCTTCTCCTCTCTCTCCTCCTCCTCGCTCGCCCTGATGTTGTTCATGATGTCTTTCACAATGCTCACGCAGGGGGTGGCGCCGATGCCCAGGCCAACCAGGAGGACCACGTCGTATTTCTTGTAATCCTGCGACGGGGCGCCGTAGGGGCCGTCGATCAGCACCCTTGGGAAGCTGTTTAGAGAGAGAATATGATGAAGTTATGTTAGAAGCCGTTCAGAGAGTTCTGTTACAAGCTGTTTAGTGAGAGGAAGCTCTGTTGGATTTTTGTTTCTCTCTCTCTCCATGCTTAGCACATGCGATGAAAAGTAAACTACATTCTTAATAGTGCTTCTCTCTCTAGAAGCCGCTTGAAGAGAGATGAGTTTTGCAAGATTTTTGTTTGTTGCTCTCTCTCTCTAGACAATGACACCTAGAGAGAAGATTTTTGTTTGCTACTCTCTCTCTAATCCATGACACCTCCCTCTCCCTCTCTACATGATTTATTACATGCAATGGACGTATTTCCGCACTCGAGAGTACACCCACAATATTTACCCAAAAAGAAAAAATGAGTACACACACACACAATAGCCTGCCTCTCTCTCTCTCTCTCTCTCTTCTATTATTAAGTGGACCTCTAAAACCCCCAAGAAAAATAAAGTTCTATTTACACTTAAATCAATTATAAATCCTAGTTTACTATCCAAAGAAAAATATAAAACTAAATACGAACCAGCAACAAACATATGAACACACTCTCTCTCTCTCTTCCATGGTTCTCTTTCTCTCTCTTCCATAGCTCTCTCTCTCTCTCTCTTCCATTATTTCCGGGCAGTGGACCTCTAAAACTCCTTAGAAAAGCAAAGCTATAATGCTAGTTAATTAAATCCGGATCCTAGTTCACCAACCCAAAGAGAAACTATTGTATTTAAATAGTGTGAGAGAATGGCTTTTTATAGAGCTTTCAAAAATAAATAAATAAATAATGGTTCCTTGTGGAATGACATTATTCTTTTCAGAAACAGAAACCCAAGTTTCTAAAAACCGTTGATAAAAAATTTCAGAAGGAAAATTTAATTAAATGTCACTTTGGACAATGAAAAATTCAACGGAAAAAATCCTTGAAGCAGCCTTAGACGACAGGAGGCCGAAATCTTGACCCAAAATGTCGGCTTGTTACCCGTTTTCCAGGTTGAATTTCGGTAAAATTTCGAAGGATATTAGCCGAAATTTTGACTTACATTAATGCAATGAGAAGAAATCAAAGCTCCAATCAATCTCATGAAGAAAGCATAATACCTTGGGTTGCCTTCCTCTTGCATGTAATCCGCTCTCAACAAACCACTTTTCCCACCAGTTGAAGGCTGGCATACCTATATATATCACAATTCGCAACATCAATAAAATTACAAGTTTTGGCTAAAAATAATTCATAATAGTGATAATTAATTTAGAATTCTAAGTCTCCATGCAATCGTTTTCTGTATATCCCCCACACACAGTATAATTAATTATTCATACATATTTAGAGATATTTAGCTGTTTGATTTCGATCAGATGACTGGATAGAAGACCATTGGCCTGACAAACAGCTGATATTCTTACCCTTTAGGTCGCCCCATAATTTATTCATGTGCAGTGACACGTAAAAATGTTTTGCATTTTAAATTTCAAAGCAATCATTTATAAATTAAACAATCCAAAAGATTAAGAAAACATTTAAATTTAAAAATGCATAAATTAGAACATTTACCTCTGAGAAAACAGCTTTGAGTTGGCCTGTCCAATCACCCAAGGTTCGGATATGAACACTGAGGTAATCGTCACCTGGTGCTGACGTGATTGAGAATGGGTGCCTGTTTAATACAAACCATTTGCCATTAAATTATAAGCTTAGATAAATATTTTTATAATATAATCAAATTGTTTAGTCTAGAGACAATAATCATTATTTGGATACTATCATTGGGGAGAATTATCAGGATATTACAGTGGCTGTCTTTTTTAGTCCCCTGTTTTTGTTGGGAATTTATAATATAATTGCTAGGACTTTAAAATGTTTTTTCTGTATTATGAAACAATTTTCTATTAATCTATGTAAACAAATATACAAATTATTTTTCTTTTCAATCATTCAAACATGAATAAAAATATATAGAATTAAAATTAAAATATCCAAAATCACTATCCAAAGCTTTAATTTTACATTTTAACTATCAATTCCTTCAAAATTGATTCCCTTTGTAATATTAACATTTTAAAGCTATTTTTAGGTAATATCATTTTCTTCTCAAATCCAAAGCAATAAAATTGGCTTTTAGACTCCATAATAATTGTGACTAAATTTACATTATAAAACGTCAAAATCTCGTACCATTCAAATGGCGAAACAGCTGCACAATTGACAAGCAAGTATTGCCCACTCCTGTACTTGAACCCTTGTGGCTTTGACATGTGTAGAGCCAACACATTTCCAGGATAAACAGCAACCTATAACCAAACCAACCGGATGAGTCCCTCGCCGGAATTTCGGTGAAACTTTCGTTTTTAAATAGAATATCCTGATAAAATTTCGGTTGATATTTCGTTTCTTTTTACCTTGAGGATTTTCACTGGCTGAGAGCTTGATCTGAAAGCCCGTACAAGCCTTTCACATGCGTACAACAAAACGGGGACCGCCAGGTACATCCACGTCTACATCCACCAAAAATTCGGGTAAATATTAGTCAATTTCGTCCCAGACAGAACTTAAATTTCGATTAAACCGCAACTTATGCTAGGACCGGTAACAACAGGCCGTACGGTCCAGCGACGCTCTGATGGCCCGGCCCGGTACGGTAAAATGAGGCCAGATGACATATTGTAGACCGTGGGGCGGGCACGGGCTGAGCCACCACAACCTGAGGGTAGGGCCAGCCGGGCCAAGGCCATGCACGTGCTGGCCTGGACCGGTCACAGGCCCTCTGTTTTTTTTTTTTTACCCCTTCAGGTGTATTAAGCCTAACCTCCGCCTGGCCACAGCTTCTTCAGCCCAGTCAGGATCGGGACCTAGCTTGGGCCAGCCCTTTAGAGAAAATGACTGGGCAATAGCCGGGGGTGGCCCCGCCCATAACCAACTTTTTACCCACTTAAAGCGAGAGAGATAGGGAGCTTACTGTTTTCTTGTACCATTCCTTGCTCAAGTAGAGGTAGATACCATGGACAACGAAGAGGGTATAGACTATCACAAAGAGGTGGTGGGAGTACCAAAAGGCATTGAAACCGGTGAGCTTCTTGAGAGGCGTAGGGAGGTTAAGCCTGTTTCTCCTGAACCATGGAGTGGCCAACACAAATGCAATAGTCATGAAGACCACCATTATGACGCCCGTTACTCCCTCTACTCCCTTAACGAACCACCAATAGTTGGGCGGTTGAGTTTGTCCAAAGAATTGTTTCATGGGTTCGTACTCCTTAGGAGTAGCATGGAGCAGGCGTGGGAAATCACACGTCAAGTGAGCACCAGCGTGTAATCCTACTCCAACCACAATGCCAGCCGCAATTACCTGAGAATTTAGAGAGAGAGAGCGCCAAAATTAGAGAGAGAATCCTATAGAACGAGCTCAAATTACATGTGTTCTCTCTCTCTCTAAAAGGTCAACAAGTTAGAGAGAGAACCCAAAAGCTGAAATTAAAGAAACAAAATTGTAGAGAGAGAGAGAGAGAGGTGATACCTTGTGGAAGTTGATATTATCATCAAATGGGACCACAACACCGAGCTTGGTCCTGGCCCTCAGCCAAGTAATTGTATTTCGACAAACAGGAAACAAAATTATGGCCATGTTAAACTTGAGAGTCTCAGCTGCCCCCTTAGCAGTGCATACACAATACCCCATCACTTCATACACAGCCCTATGCTTATACTGAATGAATTTCCATGTGAAAAGCCCAGTCATTATACACATCCAGAGCATCAAAACCCACACCCTTTTCCAATTGTCCTCCAAAAAGTACTTCGCCCTTTGATACCCCCTCCTAATTGGGTTATTCTCCTTTGTGGGTTTCAGCTTTTGGCTTATCATTTGGCTAAGGTTATGGCTTTGTTGAACCCCCTTCACTGATTGGCTTGGCCCTTGCAACAGAAGCATCTCCAAGTTGTAAAGCTGCAGAGTAGAGAGAGAAAGAGAGATTCTAGAGTGAGAAAGAGTTGCCATATAGAGAGAGAAAGAGACATTCTTGAGTGAGAAAGAGTTGCCACATAGAGAGAGAAGAGAGAAGTAACATATAGAAACAGAGGAGCTAGAGTGAGAAAAGTTGGAACAATAGAGAGAGAGGAGCTAGAGAGAGAAACAATTGTGCGTATGATTAGTGTTTTTTTACCTCAATGTAACCAAGACTATCAGGGTCTAATTCCTCCATTATAAGGGCCGCGTACTCCTCGGCTCGTTCTTGGATCTTGGACAGCTTGTTTGCTGAGGCACTCATTGTGATAATCTGTGAAAAAGTACAAAAAAATTGGAGAAAACTTATTGGAATCTGAACCCTTCTCTCATAAACTCTGCATATTTTTCAGAGACTTTGAGAGAGAGAAATTAAGCAGAATTTTCAAAAACTGTTTTTAGAGAGAGAAAGAGATTGAACAAATCTTTTTTACCTCTTTGACCTCTTCTCCATTGATTCTGCCATCAGCATTCTTATCAACCCTGAATATTAATGCAAAAATCCCATCAAAATCTCAAGTCAATAAAAAAAATAAAAAACCCAATTTCATATGCATTGAGTTATAGGCTAGAGAGAGAGAGGACTTACATATCAAAGAAGGTTTGAAGCCTAGAATCAAAGCTTTGATCTGAGATCTGTTCCCAAAACTCTTGTAACTCAGTCTTTGAGATTGAATTGGAAGTTATATTCCTCCTCCTTGCTAGAGCCTCAAATAACTCACCAGCAAACTCCTTGGACTCTTTCATCCCTGTTAAAAAAATCAAGAACAAATTGAGAACTCATTAAAATTCTCAAAAAAAAAAAAAAAAAAGTCTGCACCATTTTCCATAATTAGAGCACAAAAAACCCCAACCCAATTAAAGATCTCGACCATAAACCAGAAACAAAGCACAAAAAATCCAAAAATCCAATTACAAATGGCCATCAGAAACCATGAAAATAACACAATAAAGAACCAAAAAATACTGAAAATTGAAGAAATTCAGAGTATATACCTATGCATTGTCCAAAGAGAGCTTTGGGTAACACTCCATTAACTGCAAGCTCATCAAACCTCTTCTCAACAGCAGGCCAACCAGATGCACCATCAGTTTTGCTGATGAACTTGAGCCCTTTCAATGCATGAGCAGCTGCCGATTTAGTCCGATCGAATCGACCGGGAGCAGGGCGCTTCGTGATAGAAGCGAGTCGCCTCAACTCCTGAGAGACCTGTTTTATCCTTGAAGAAGCGCTCCTGATAACCGATGAACCCAACGATGTTTTCTTCTCTAGAGTCCGAGCCAAGAGGGTCACTTCCGGGTCTTCGTTGTCTTGACCCGCCGGTTTCACGCTGTGAACCGCCACCGAGTCATCACGGACATCGAGTGTAATCTCGACATAGCCGTCGTCCGGGTTTTGCGTGGATGGCTCGGGAATATTGAATCGAGCGCTTCTTCGGCCGCCTCTCTTGTTTAGTGGGCCGCTTAATGGTCCGCTCAACGGTCCACTGAATCCGACTCGGTCGCTTCCCACGCTCTCTGAGTCCCAGTTTGACTCTGACTGGATATCTGGCCCCTTTCCAGTATCTGAACCCATGGCTTTTTCTGCAGAGGTTTGAGCTATCCCACTTTTTGCAAAATGGGGTTCTTTTTCTTCAATAGAAAGAGCTGAAATCCTTGTTTATGAGGCTCCGAAGCCTCAGGAAAAGATCTCACGAACTCTTTTTCAGGGAGATGAACACTCTAGATTCACACCTCAAATGGAGTAGTAGAGGTTAAAGGTGGGTTTTTGCAGTGGTGAAACTGTAGATCTTCGTCAGAAAGGTGAAAGAGTTGTGAGATAAAGCTCAGTTTCCTGCAAAAAGAAAAAATTGAAATTTTGGGGATATTCTTTTGGGATTTTAAGAAGGAAGAGGAATCCCCAAAAGACGAAAAGAACACAACAAACTCTGATATTCTGGTGAGCTTGTACTTGAATAATATCTGGTTTCTCCAAGTTGAAGAGAGTCTACAAATCTCTGCAAATTTGCAGAGAAAGCAAAAGAAAATCGCTCTAATCCTTCAGATTCATATGCAGAACAAGAAACCCAAGACCCAAATCCTCCAAATCTTTGAATGAGATAGAAAAAGAGAGAGAGAGAGGCGAATTTTCTAAGGGGGTTTGTTGATTCTCTATGGTGAAAGAAGGCCTGGTATTTAAACCCTTTAAGAGAGAGAAAGCTCTCTCTCGAAACTTTTGACAGTCAAACGACCAGTGCACCCAATGCGAAAGTCCTCTCCAGTAAGTAGGCCGAGTCGCGTGTACTTTAGCCGTGGGAACCCATTTTTGTTTAAAAAATAAACCTCTCTCATCATTGTTTATGAATAATTTCTCTCTCTCTCTCTCTAAAAACCAGTGGCGGTATATGCCTTAATCCAGTTTACGTGTGGGAAAGCCGTTCAAACAAAGTGAAACCGCCTCGAAGTTTCACCTCTTCCTCTCTCTCTTTTCCCTCGTCTCATTTTCTTTATTCTCGATATGGCGGCCAGAAATGGCTGCACCCGAGAAAAATACCGAAACTGCCCCTGAGGCCGGAGAAAAGACATTGACGTGTTCCTTAGCTTGTCTACCCTTTGCCGGAAAATTGCGTGAATTAGTATCTGTCTATTCCTTCTCCTTTTGAAAAACGTTAACACTAAGTAAAGAGTGAGAGGTTATTTTGATCCAAACACTTTTAACAGTAGGATTTCCTATTCCCGCGGGAGTGTGAAACTTAGAAGTTATAAATATTTATAAACTCAAAATCTAAATTTTTTTTTGAAAACAATCATCGTTATAATTAAATGGATTCAGGAACTTCAAATAAAAAAAGGTCTCCCAAATTGCTGGTTTGCACGAGTGAGTAAATGTATAGTATTCTCCGATGGAGCATAGTCTATACGCTCAAGTGTTTGTTTACTTATTTTTTTTGGTAAGGGATTATGTAACTTGATACTATTTATTTATCTTTCGTATGAAGAGGTCACAATTACTCATAATCATTATATCTCATATTAGATAGCTTAAAGTGTCATGAAGTTCGAAATTTTTTTTTGAATCTTGAGACTAGTTAATAACATTTATATAATCACCCGATTGAAATTTTGACAGATAAGGATGATTATAACTTTTTTTTTTTTTACCAAAAGTAAATTAATCTCTTTGTATGTTTTTATGTTTCTGAATTGGGAATTCATAATAAGAATATGCCCATTATGTTATTTTTAAGGGATTTTAGGATTATATGTTACGACACCTTTATTTTTATTACAAGGAAGTCACAATCGTTCCTAACCATTAGATGTCAAATTGGATGGCTTGAGGTGTATCATGAAGTTTAAAATTTATTTATTAAAACTTCAAAAATCTATTGAATGACGTACGTAGAAACACCCGATTTGAAATATGACCTACAATTAAAAATAAACAGTCTCAATGTATACTTTTTTTTGGCTTCCCATTATTGAAGTGGGAGTTCTAAAACTAATGTTCTTGTGATCTTTAAAAAATTAAAATTATAAAATGTACTTCTAAGGATTAAATTTTATTTGTTGGTATGGTAGTGGTGAGCCCACTGAATCATCTATCGGGTTGGGTCCTGGTCCGGCTGGACCAGGACCAAACCAAACCCGATTAGACCTATCCCCAAAATTAAAAAATATATACATTTAAATATATTTTTCATAAATTGGGAAATGTGGGACCTGGGCTCAGACCCGACTAGTGTTTGGGTCCAAGATTTGGACCCAGACCCAACCCACCAGATCCAATTTTTTGACCCACGCCCAGACCTGGGTCAGCCGTCGAGTCCAGGGTCGGGTGCGGGTCCATGGCCACCCCTATCGACAAATACTTCCTCTATTTATATAGGCGGTGATCTAGATGATAGACTTGCAAAAAAAAAAATTTATTCATTTTGAATGCTTGGAAGCACTACAAGTAGTATGAAAGTGACTCAAATTCTTACTTGAAATGGCATTAGAAATTCAATAAGCAAATTTCTACGATCTATGGAAAAATAAATAGAATAAGCAAGTTTCAATTTCATGTAATGAAACATTGTTTAATCAAAAGAAAACATTTTTCCAATTGTAATCTAATTTGTATTTGAAATAGTTAAATGTAAGGTTGTACTTGAAGGTAATGTTGATTTTGATTATTTTATGACTTTACATATAATAGAGCGTTTGACGTTTAGTGAACCATATTGCCTCGTTAATTGCTTACTATCACCTATAACCGCGTTAGGATTGTCCCCACGTTTGATGTTTAGCACAAAGAGATCTAGAAGATCCGTTCCTTAACACACTCCCAAATACCTCATTATTACCTATACTTCATTCTTCCTTTTGTTGGGCAATCACTTCATTACAAAATTGAAAATGGTTTGATAGGCCTACAGCCCTATCAAAATAATTAAAAACCTCACCTCATAACTCATAAAAAAAAAAAAATGTAATTCAAGTTTTTAAAATCTTTTAAATCTATCATCAGCTTGAACGTTATGTCTGTGAAAAAAAATTAGGATTTTAAGTTCTAAAAATAGTGTATATTGCAACAAATCATCAAGACTACCCATCCCTCCTAAAAATAAATGTTAACCGATCTACAAGATCTATAACATATTTTGAGTTTCAAATTTTACTACCAGTGTTGGAAATTGATTTTAGAGCTATCATGAAAATTTTCGACAATTAAAGTGCTTTTTAGATGAAGATTTGAGGTGAGGCTTTATTTTGTTTTTATAAAGCCTAGGCCTTATAAAACTTCATCCTTAAAAAATTAATACCTACAATCAATTTGGAGACCACTTCATTTGAAAATTGATACACAATCAATTTCTCCAAAAAAGTAGTTCTCACTATGCATTTCTTAAGTTTGTTTATTGTTTTAACATTCGTATAGCAAAACGAGATTACAAAAGATTTGGGCCCCCACCCCACTCTCTCTCTCTCTCTCTTTTTCTCTCCCTCTCTCCCTCTCTAAACTATATAAAATGGGAAAAGTTTAAATAAGAATGCAACCTTATAATGTAGAGCTACGAATGCACCTCAAAAATCGATCGAAAAAAGTAGTTTTCATGTCGAAAAACCCTTTGATTGATCATCTCGACATCGAGATGTATTACCATGAAAACTAAAAAGATTTTAAGTCTAAAAAAATAATGCATTTTACAACATATTATCTACACGGTCAATTTTCAAGATTTTTATATGTTTATAGATTTACTTGATTTGAACTATTTTTTAAATTTAAAATTTTATAATTAGATTTAAAAATAGATTTTAAGATAATCCCTAAAATATTATACATCAAAATTATATACCATTATAAAATTTAAAGGGGCACCTTACATCTACAGCTACAGATGCATCCGTATGCCAACTGTGCCCAAATAAAAATATATAAAGGTTGACACTTTCCTCTTTTTTTCTTTCTATTTTTTATAAGGCTCACACCTTAAAATGTAGAATTAAGGTGCACCCCAAAAATCCTTTGAAAACGGTTGTTTTGATGTTGGAAAAATATCTAATTGATATACGTATATGGAGAAAAGAAAAGATTTCAAAATCCTAAATTCTAAGTAACCCTCTATAGGAATGTTTTTAAAACACTCTTTTTTTTATAACCTCCTCAATGTATGTGTGTGTGTATTCAAGCTATATACTCGAACTGACCAACCTCAAATATTTATTCATGTTGTGTGGGTTCCTAAAGGCTAATGCAAGCAGATCAAAGAGAGACCATTTTAGATGGTCCAATCTGAGTATTACGAAGTCAAAAATTTATTTATTTTTTAACTATTTACTTATGGAGAATAATTTTATGCAATGGTTTTATAGTTATATAATGAAACAATTTTTAAAACTCATATTAAAGCTATTTATTTTACTATAATCTTTAAAAAAGTTTATATAAGGTTACAATCTTAAATGTAGAATTAAATATGCACCTCAAAAATCCATCGAAAAAGGTAGTTTTAATGTTGAAAAACCCTCTAATTGATCATCTCGACATTGAGATATATGAATATTAAAAAAAAAAAAAGATTTTGAGTCTCGAAAATAGTGCATCTTGCAACACATTATCGACACCGTCTATTTTTCAAGTTTTTAATATATTTATAGATCTACTTGATTTTAACCATTTTTTGAAGTTTAAAATTTTTATAATTAGATATGAAAATAGATTTTGAGATAATCCTAACAATGTTTTGCACATGTTATGATAAAATTTGGAGGTGCGCTTTAATTGGATTGTTTAAGGTTGCAAAACTACACTCATCTTTAAAATATGCACCCTTTTCATTGTAATGAACTATCACCAAAAAAGGAAAAAATTTAAAGCATACTCTAGAAAGTGTTTTCTTAAAGTAATTAATATAGGTTAGTCTATTTTACTGAGATATTTAAATCTAGATCTTAAAATGATTCTTTTTTTTTTCAAGATTTTTAGATAATTTTATAATCATTAGATTAACAATATTAAAAAAAAAAAATTTGATTTTAAATTTAAAATTGTCTGGTCTTGAAATTCACGAAATATATGGTCTAGATGTATTAGAGGGGACTCATTTTGACTGTATCTATGACGCGAATTGAATTTTATTTCTTAGGATTGATTATTATGACGAATAGAATGCATGTGTAAAATTTAGGGTTATACAAATGCCATTAACATATTTTCAAGGAGTGTGATCATGAAATCACTCGTCTTTATTAATTAGTTTTAAGTGGATCTCAGATTTTCAGATCCGACGAATCCTTTTAAACATGTATTTTACCGAAGGGAGTAGGTGTACACTAGGCTCCTGAGAGAGTGCACACATGCTCATAGAACAAGAGCTTGGTGTATAATGTAAATTCAATGCCATTGCCATTGATACATATCAAGCCAAGTGGCTTTCTCAAATGACCAGAACATCCCCACAAATTATACAGCTGTGCCTTGGTCAATTTTGTACACACTACAAACACGGAGCATTGTGATGGTGAATGAGACATTTTTGTTTTGTCCATTTGAGCATCCATCCTCCAGCAAGATCACACCATATATTACTCCCTCAAAAAGATAATATTTAAGGGCAATTGCTCCATTTTAAATTTTGAGATCCACTTTAAAATTACCATATTACTATTTTTAAAGGAAAAAATTTTAAGGTTGCAACCTTATATTATAGAAGTAAGGTGCACCTCAAAAATCCAATTGAAAAAACTATTATGAGGTTGGAAGAACCTTCTAATT